TTGGGTCAAAACATGTGCCCTAAATTTAATTCTTCTTTTCCCCCCAGTTCTACATACGTGTACACATATGCACACTCAGTTTAACCATTTTAAAGCACTGTGTATGATTACAGTCTTGGAATCTACTGTAAGGGTTCTAAAAATTCCAATCTAGATTGGAATTTCTTGACTGAATCAGTATGGTCAGTTTCATTCCATGATTAATGCACTTCACAGAGAATTTTCCATGTGTTTTTTTTTTTAAGGCATCCCAAATGTTATGGGTAAGGCTACGATTAAGTCATGGAATCCGTGACTTCGCTTGACTCCGTGACATTTTCTGCCCTGGGGCTGGAGCTTCCAGCCCCCGCCTTGGTGAGGGGGACTCCGCCGCTGCCTAGCCACAGCGGTGGGGGATCCGGGAGCCCCAGCAGCAGTGGGTGCTGAACCCACCTATGCCTTTTGTTGGGGATATTTTTAGTGAAAGTCAGGGACAGGTCATGGGCTTCCAAGAATTTCTGTTTATTGCCTATGACCTGTCCATGACTTACTAAAAATGTCCGTGACACAAACTTAGCCTTAGTTATGGGTGATATTCAGGGTGAGACACCAGCTTATCAAAGTGGAGCTTGATACTCTGAACGGTTGGTTTCCCTGCTGCTAAGTTACCCTGAGAAAGCCAAGTCCTGAGGTTGCGTCTACACTTCAAGCTGAGGGTGTCATTCCCAGCACAGGAGACGCGCCTGCACTAGCTGGGATGGAGCTAGTGTGCTAAAAATACAACGTAGCTGGTGTGGCAGAAGGGGCTCGCTGCTCTGAGTGTATACTTAGCATCTTGGGTGGTACGTCCTCTAGGTGGCTAGCCCCTCCTATTGCTCGTCCCATCACAGCTACACTGGTTTTCCTATGCTAACTGGATCAGAGCTAACATAAGTATGTCTACTTGAGATGGGACTCACACCCCACCTCAGTGTAGACATCTGACACCTGTGCTGATGTAACCAAACAGCTTTCACTACACCAGTGCGAACTCTTAATGTAGAGTCACTATACCAGGTTAGCTTAATTCAATTAATTACCAAATTAAACAGGTTTAAATGGGTTTTTTAAATCAGTTTAAGGGGTTCTATAATGGGAGTTTGTACAGATGTAATAAAATCAGTTTAGACTGGTGGAACAAGCCCACCCCAGGCCAACCCTTGCTTGCTTTAACCCACTCCCACTTTCGTCTGGGTCAGGATTGGAGCCCCATTGTGCTAGGCCCCATACCCAGCAGGGTTTCCCCCCCTTCTCTCACATGTGAGTCTCTGGTAGTCTCCCTCCCAGCCCCACTTCCACTGTCCCTTCCTATGTCACTCCCTTGTCTCCTAAGCAGTTCTTGTTGTGGCCACTCTGTCACTTCGACCCTACTGTCCTTTGGGATCTTACTGCCAGGTCCATGCTGCCCTCCTGTCTTAAAGAGGGGGTGTGGGAGTGGCTCACCTGGACGCTGGCAGGTTCCTTAGGGTCTTGACATCCCCCGGGACATGCATCACCTTGGTTCTTCCATTGGCCTGGTGGCTGACCTCGCCAAAGGGGGACAGGAAGGAGCTGTTAGACACAGTCCATGAGCCTAGTGGGGGGTGAGTTGAAGGGACAGTGTTAGGCAGTATAGAACCAAAGGAGAAGCTATGAGTGAGTGGTGGTCTTCAAAGAACTCCAGTGAAAGCAGTTCCTGTTTATATTTCCCCAGTTCCCTTTACCGTTTGCTGCCTAAACCCAGCAGCACTTTGCTAGTGCCTGAGGGTGACTCATATTTGCATTGTGTTCAGCTTGCACAATGGACATAAACAGCAGAAGTAGTGAAAAGCAAGTTAGATTTTACAAGTCCTGCCATTTTTATTGTTTAATGTAGTGTTAGTAACATACCGAAGGAAGCTTGCTGGGCTGGTTTTCAAAACCTGAAGCAGATGCCAGTTGAGGTGCTCAGGTCCTCTGAAAATTGGGCCACAGAGGTTTTAGGTTTAAATGATTTTTTTTTTTAACCTGATTGTCCTTTTCATACTCTCCAGAGGCTGCTCTGTTCTATTTGCTTGAGACAGACCAGCAGTTAGAAAATAGGCAATAGACACCAAGCAGAGAATAACACCAGCTCGCTTCAGAAACTTCTCTGGCTTTCTTTTGTATGCCATCTAAGCAACCATCAACACAACCCAGTGCTAGATCTTGGCATGCGCCTCCACGTCAAGTTTACAACCCTGGAGACAGGCAGACTTAGAGGTGCTGAATGTGGGGTCCAATCCCACTCCGCTCACTAAACAAGCCCCACCTGGATACTTACATATAGTGTGAAAATGGTTGGTCTGTGTGTGGATCCCTGAGACTCAATAAAACCCTTTGTACTATATTAACTTCAGATGTTTGCCTTGGTCTCATAGAAGTCAGCTTGCATCTCTTGCTACTGTTAGAACCCACCTCTCACCGTATTCTTCATTTCTTGCCAAGAGTCACGCCTGGCTTCAAACGTGTGGGGAAAGGCTTTGTTGGTGCATTCAGTCCATTTTCAGAGACCCAGGTGGCTTTTACTAAAACAAAGCCATGTTGAAAGTCTAATTTTGGATGGTATTTTGGACAAGTTTGTTGTCTTTCACCATGTGTGTGTTTTTTAATTTACTCTTTGCCATTCGTTTTGCTTGGAGAGGGAAAGTGGAAGGGCCAGTTTCTGATTCTTGTGCACATCATGCACCTTGTGGGGGAGGGGGTTAGGGCTCCAGCACTTCAGGAGAACACCAGAAAGAAGCTGGCTTCATGGGAAACGTATGATCAAACTTGTGTGCCTGACGTTACGCACCTTAAATCAATATTTAGGCACCTAAAGAAAATGGCCTCCTTTCGGAACTCCTCTTAGTTTCTGTGGGAGTTGTGGATGCTCCGCAGCTTTGGAAACTGAGCCAAACTTAAGCACCTAAATATGGATTTTAGGTAGATTCACTAGCTTAAAAACTTTGAGGCACACGCAGATATATATATATATATATATAAAATTCAATAGGTTTTGTAAATTCCTCCCTCCCACATCCCTCTTAAAACAAAAGCTAAACTTTAGAATTTCCGCTGCCTGGCACTCTACTATTGATGTGTGCACTTTCAAACTAACAGATTCTCTTTACTTACCATAGCTACGTTCTTCCAAGCCAAAAATTGGTCTCCTTTCCTAAAGCTGCCTCCATCAGTGCATTATCCTTACACAAGGACCTAGGGCCTCCCTTTCAGAAAAACTGGCTCCCACATTGCTTAGGAGCAGTTCTCAACCTGAGGTCCTTAGACTACCATGAGAGAGAGTAGAGCCCTTCCAGGTAGCCTGCAGGGCAAAATATTGACCGAGACAAATCATGGGGGCTGGGATCTTGGTCTGTTATGAAAGGCTCATCGGCCTGATCAGAGTAGGAGAGTTACAGCCTTGGGGGATGTTTGTTTTATACTGGATGACTGGATCTATTTTTTTCATGTGGGAATTTGTGATAATTACACAGGTAAGGTGATTTTTATTTTGGTATAAATTTGTATCTTGATGCTGACATTTTACAAGCATATGGACTGCTTTAAACTCAAACTGAATGAGCAACCCAGAAAGCTTTGACAAATAAAAAGGACTTTCTGGCCCTGCTACAGATAACAGCCCTAGTGTGTCTTAAGTGAAGAAATGAGACATTCCAAAGACTGGGAAAATGGAGGCCAGGAGAATGTGCCAGTTCTACCCCTGCCAGCCCTCAGGGCATGTGCGCAGCTGCTGAATGCAAGCCTTTCTCTGTCCCAGGCAGCTCTGCCAGTCTTCTAGCTGCGTTTCCCCCTCCTTTTCAGCTAGGGCCAAAACAAGACCCCTTCTGTCAAGGCAGTTCCCTAGCTCCTTCCTCTGCAAAACCCTCCTTATAATTCTGCCTCCATCATATTAGGGGGCAGGGTTTACATTGAATCCAATGGATACTGTGCCCACTACGTTACAAGTGGGCTGCAGCTATGGAAACAGTGTGTGAGAGGAAGGAGCCAGTCTACTTCTGCACCCCAGCTTGAAGGAAAGGACAGCTGGACCCTGACTAGTTATGTGGTAAGAAATCATGAGGTAAGCTAAGCACGATTTTCTGTTGTAAGCGTGAAAAACTGCCATTCGAAAAAATTGGCTGTGGTATCCAAGACAACTAACAATGTTGTCAAGTTCTTTCTCTCCTCAGAAATACAAGCGTGTATTAGTTTTACTAAACCACACACCCCGTATTCATTTTGATAAGTGGACAGGCACGTTCATATACTGTCTTTTAATTGCAATAGAAATAATTGCCCAACTAGCAAACTGATCACCACATAAAGCTTTTCTGTGCGGTTCATCAATACATGCATATGGCACGTTTACCAACCTCGTGTGATGGTTTTCCAGCCAAGACTGGGACTGATTTCCAGTCTCTGCAGAACTACCGTACATTTCATCAATGTTTTTTGTGTGAACACTTTATACATAAGGTATTTATTCCCAAAACTGCCAACATATCACAGAAACAGATCCCCAGTTGACAATTCTCCTGAAAGTACATTATTATAAGGTCCCTTTCTAACCAAGAGATAACACATCACTTCACTTCATCAGTAACCACTACAGCGCATCCATCGAGGTTACCGGACTCCCTCCCCTCCAACTGTGCTGCATAGTGAAAGTTAGAATTGACACCATGGTACAGCAAATGGAAAAACAAGAAAAGCTGGTACTGTGCACTGTCCTGCAGCTGAGAAAGGGACCTATGGGATAGGCCCCAAATCAGGAAAAACAGCCCTTTGCAGGACAGCCCTTACACATCGGCTTAAAGTAGGTGGGACTTAAGCACATTCTTAAGTTCTCTCCTCAATAAGGATGGATTTAAGTACACCTCTACCCCGATATAACGCGACCCGATATAACACAAATTCGGATATAACGTGGTAAAGCAGTGCTCCCGGGGGGGCGGGGCGGCGCTTTCCGGTGGATCAAAGCAAGTTCGATATAACGTGGTTTCACCTATAACGTGGTAAGATTTTTTGGCTCCCAAGGACAGCGTTATATCGGGGTAGAGGTGTATATGCTTAAGGCTCAGATCCTGAAAAGTATTTAGGGGTCTCACTCCCATTGATTTTAAAGAGAGTTAGGTGCCTAAATTAACAATCATAGTTTCAGCTTTTCAGCTGTGCATCTGGGCCTATAACTTCCTGGATCAAAAGGCCTTTCCTAATCCTGTTTAAGAGATTCACTTCCTACTTGTGCTGGCCAGTGAGTACTTATTTTTAAAGTTACCTGTGATCAGAAAATAAAATGCTTTAAGTGCTAAAATGCTGTCCAGGCTGTGTTGAATCAAGCAATACCGTGATCCTCTCCAAAAGTTTAAATGCTTATTCAAAAACTTTGAATGATAAATTGAATGTCACCTAATGGCAGAAAGTCGTTTGTTTTTTGTTTGCTTGTGTTTTGCTGCAATGTCCTGAAGAGCTTTTATTTCAAAGCCTTTGTGTCTGAAGGGTATTTTTCCCCCCAGTGTCTGAAAAGGCCCAGCTACCTCTCATATTTGACTGCATTCAATACACAAAAGGCCTGAATCTCTATAAACTAGTCCTGTATGTCAGTAATTTCGTCCAGATCAAAGAACACAGTGAGAGACACATGGGGCAGAAGTATGCATTTGCCATTGCTCTGCTCACCAGCAGAGGTCTGAAATGGAGGATCTGGACCATCAAGGTGAGAAGATGATCAGCTGTTGTCAGATGATTTTCAGCTTCCATTGACTGTAAATCAATTTACAACAGGAAACTTTTTATCCTCACCTTCAAGGCCCTTCACAGCTCTGACCCTTCCTACATACCTGCAGGTCTCCGATCATGTTGCCCCCTCACCCATCCTCTGGTCTGCTGGCAAAGCCCGCTTCCAATTTTGTCTCCTCTCCTTCTCCCATTCTGCATGGAGCCCCCTCCCTGAATTAATCCATAATGCCACTGCCCTCTTCTCCTTCAAGACCCACCTCCGCTGTAACACCTCCAAGGAGCCAGCCGATGGTGGTTTGGTTTGTGCATCAGTTGGGGAGAGCTGATTTTCTTTACTTTAGCTATTGCACAATTTGGTGGTTCTTGCTGGCTCTCAGTAATCCCAGACCTATGTAGCAATGATTTTTTTTATCTTCACAACCCTTGTCCTCATCTCCCACCCTACCCTGCTCCTTTTATGTTCACTTATCATGTTAAGTCTCAAATTAGATGATAAGCTCTTTGGGGCTGTCCTTTACTGTGTGTTTGTATAGCACAATAGTCCTAACTGGGGGTCTTTAAGCTCTACTGCGATACTAATAAATAATAATAAATTAAATCTAGTTTTGTGAATTACTTGGAATCAGGTTAAGGGAAAAAATCCTACTGCATATAGTGTGTGCAGACGTGGAATTCTGGCAAATGTCTGCAATAGGGTGGCCTTGTCTCCTAATAGTTTACACGAGATGTGCTAATTCAGCGTGTTGGGTTGCAACCACGCAAGGTTCTTCTGAGCTTGGTTCATCACCTACTTCTGCCATGCTTAGCCTGCTTTATCAGAAGGCTGCTGTCCATCATTGCTTCAGTATTTTTCCTCTTCCATTGGAAAGGCTTCTTCACCTGCTTCTTCTGGGTGCAGGAAAGCCGTGGGCTGTGAAGCAGATTCCACATTAGCCAGATTTCGGCTACTTTTAGACTGTGGACTACCATGAGATCTTTGTAAAAGCAGGGGTCAAATGTCTGCAGGTGCGGGGCAGCTGAGGGTTTCACGATGCCAAACGTCTTGAATCCTTCATGCAAAACAGGTTTGAGATTGATTCTCTGCAAGCACATGCCCAAAAAGACATCGTCAATGGGGAAGAGCTCCACCTCTTTGCAAGCCTGGAAGAGCTTTTTCATGGTGCTGCTGGACAATAAGAAGCCCCCTCCCCCTGCATAGAGTGGGTATGTGCCTAGCCCGTACATCGTTTCTGGGATGTAATATTTACTTTTCTGCACCCGGATTGGGTGAGCATTGTAGATGATGTCCCCAACAAAGAGGTCTTCTGCAGGGTCATGTCTCTCGAGGAAGTCAATGATGTTCTCCACATTGACAAAAACATCAGCATCCCCTTTAAAAATGAACTTCACACTAGAACAAAACTCGTGAGCCCAGTTCAGGAAGTGGATCTCTTTCAGGGTCAGATTGAAGAAAGTATCCAGAAAGTCCCAGAGTAAAATGTCCTGATACATCAGACTCTCCTGGTGGACAAGAATCTCCCATGTTGCAAGTGCTGTCTTATTCTTTGGTATTCCCAGGAGGAAAACTCTTTGAACCTGCACCCCGTTCACCAAACCCTCCCTGCCCCAGGTCTTACGGACGATCTCGCGTCTGTCAAAGTCCTCAACCACCGATTTGATGGCTATAAGCAGGAAGGGGCCTCCTGGTGTTTTCAGGCATTTCTTGGGCTGGTTAATGAGAAGATCAAAGTTCCGATTGTCCTTGTTTAGAAGGTAGCGCTTGAAGTCGAAGGCAGAATGAGTCAGAGGTGGTGAAGTGGTAGTTTGGGCCTTTTTACTTGCCACCTCTGCATCTTTAGCAATAGAAATGATTCTGGGTCGGCCAAATGCCACCTCCGCTTGAGGATGCCACTTGGGGGCTTCGGGGCCTGGGAAGATCCTCTGTGTTGGTGAAGGTTTCTTGTGCATTTGCTCCCTGTTTCCTGTTGGGGACGTACGCTCCAACTGGGAATAGAGTAAAGAGCAAAGCACTACCACCAGGAAAAGGGTGCAGATCGCATCCCCTTTGAGCTGAACTCTCATTGTCTCCACACTTCTTGTAAGGAGTGTTAAAAGCTGTGCTTGGTGAGCTGCTCAAAACCCATGTCCATCTGCAAATAAACACATTGTACATTAGTGCAGAGCATTTAACATCTTCAAGGCACTCTGGTAAAAAATAATTTAATAATCACAAGACACCCAGGAGGGAGGTATTAATATTCTTGTTTCACCAGTGGCAATGCTGGGACCCATTAAGTGCTTTACCAAGAGCTAGACAGCAAACCAGTAACTGAGCTAGGAGTTGAACTCAGGAGGGCCTGACTTCCAGTCATTTGCTCTGACCTCTAGACCATGTTGCTGTTCAAGTTACCTATGGGAAACCCAACTTTTTCTTAAAACCTCTCCGCTGATACATGATTGATTCACCCCCTCTCCAAAAACCACAAAAGATCCCACCATTGTGTCCTAGAAGAACATAGAGCAAAACTATGATCAAAACCATTCTTCTTGTCTCATATAAATAAAACTCTTGATAAGAACTAAAGAAGCCATTTAATATTAAGTTTCCTTCAAGTCATTCAAAAGCAAAAAGACAAATCTGGCAGCTGAAGGCAGCTTGAGGGCTTCAGCCCTGGGTGATGGGGCTCAGATTTTGGCTTCGGCCCCAGTCCCAGCAAGTCTAACGCCAGCCCTGGCGACCCCATTAAAACGGAGTCGTGACCCACTCTGGGGTCCCGACCCACAGTTTGAGAACCGCTGTTCTATTCAGTTAGATTAGTAACTAAACTGCAAGAAGAAAAATAAGAGTTACAAGGATGCAGAAAGCAATATCTAAATATAGTCCAGGGAAAGAATTGGTCACGTGTCTATAGCTGGAACAGACACAGATCCTTTTTCACGGCAGTACACGTAGCCACATTGTTTCCCACAGCAGCTAAATAAGTAAGTGGAACAGAAGAAATTGACGACGAGAGTTGTTCCAACTATTCTTAGGAGCAATTGGTTCCCTTTCTCCCCAGAGAAGGCTGTATCTATTTAAGCCCTACACACCCAGGGGGAAGTGGTGATCAGAATCTGAGAACTATCTACACCAGTGGGATTTTTTTTAAAAGATCATTAGGATTGATACACATTCTCATACTCACACACACACAATATTAAAATGATATCTGATTACAAATCCCATAGTTGCCATAATTTACATTCATAGATTTTTAAGGCCAGAAGGTACCATTATGAATGATCATCTAGTCTGACCTTCTGCTTAACCAAAAATTGCTGCCTGCGGGATCCCTCTAGAAACACACCCGCTCAATGAGGATTCCCCATTTAACATTATATTTTGAGACCTCTCAGTTAGCCAGTTCTTAGTCTGTTTAGTGTGTGCCATGTTAATTTTGTCTCATTCTAGTTCCTTAATCAGAATGTTGTGCATACCAAGTCAAATGTCTTACAGAAGTCTATTACATCAACATTATTATCTTTATCCACCAAACTTGTAAGCTGAGCAAAAATAAATGTCAATTTCATTTGACAAGATTTATTTTCCATACACCCAAGTTGATTGGCATTAATTATATTACCCTCTTTTCATCCTTTACTAATCAAATCCTGGATCAGCCATTCCATTATTTTGCCCGGGATTGATGTCAGGCTGACAAGTCATCCCATCCACTCTTTTTAAATATTGTCACAAAATTAGCTTTTTTCCAGTCCTCTGGAACTTCAAAAGTGTTCCAGAGTTATTAAAAATCAACATTAATTGTCCATAGTGCTCCTCAGCCTGCTCTCTTAAAACTCTTTGATGCAAGTTATCCAAACCTACTCATTTAAAAATGTCACTTTAGGAGCTGGTGTTTAAAATCCTCCTTAGTTACAGTTGGAATTGAGATTATTTGATCATCATCATCCTATATATATACATCCTCTAGCTTTTTCCCAAATACAGACCAGAAATATTTATTGACCAAGTCTGTCTTAACTCTATTGTGATTGATTAGTCTACTATTTCCATCTAGTAATGGACAACTACTATTGTTATGGTTCCTTTTGTTCCTGATATACTTAAAAACTCCATAGCTTTGCTGGCCATAGAGGTCGCCTTGTGTCCTTTTGCTTCTCTTATCAATTTTCTACGGATTCTAGCTTCTATTTATATTCACTGCTATCAGCATCCCCTTTTTTATTGTCATACATTGTTTTTTTAATTGCTGATTTAACTTTCCCTCCTAGTCAGGCTGTTTGTTGGTTTGTTTTTAAACAAGTATAGCCTTCCTTCTTGGTTGGGGCTTTTTGGAAATTTAGTAAAATGTTCTGACGCTGTTCCCAGTTATCATTTATATTTTTCTGTTTCAATTTTTTCTGCCAACTAATTTGACTCAAATGTTTTCAGCTTTGTGAAACTGGCCCTTTTGGAGCCCCAAGTGTGTGTGTGTGTGTGTGTGTGTATATATATATATATTACAGGTTGGGACTTTATTCTGTTTGCACATAAGAAATGTAATCAAGTCATGATCACATGCACCTAGTTCTATGATCAATTTCTCTTTCATGAGGAGGTCCAATATAGAGCATTAAGGAAATAGTCATCTATAATGTTTAGCAATTCGAAGGATGTCTTAGTACTGGCAACATGAGACTTCCAGCATATGTCACTCGGTTTGAATTTCACTCAGTAATTCTTGCATCAAGCCCCAGTTTTCTCACAGGCCCTCCGAGGAGTGGATGGGGCTGTTCTTAAGTGGTTCTGTTCTCTTCCTGTCAGAGAGATCTCGGGGATTTGGAGGAAGTTATTTTTCTTCCCCAAGAGTGCTCTCATGTTAGGGTTCCACTGGTTCCACCATATCACCCCTCTCATTCAAAGAGGCGCCATTAGCCTTCAGTGAGACGGCGTGAGCTATGGTGCCTGCAGTATGCTGAAGACAACCCAGGTCTTCATCTACATCTCCTCTGACCCACTTTGTCTGTCTGGAGATCACAGCATGCATGAGAATTATCTGGCTGAGGCTCAAACCAAATACATCTGAGGTGGTATTGGTGGGTAGGAGGTGTGGGAGAGCTGATATTTGTCCCTTGACAGGATGTGCACCTGCATTTGGTCAATCAATACACAATCCGGGGTTGGGCAAGATCTCCAGCTACTGTGTGTAGAACAGGTGGTATTTGCAGTGGCCAGGATGGGTTTGGGTTTTTTTCATCCATGTCTGGCTTTGAAGTTATGCCCTTTTCTGTTGTGTGTAGACCTCCCGTCCCTCATCCATGCCTTTATCACCTTGCAACTAGACATCTGCAATGTGCTCTGTGTGGGGCAAAATCTGAAATACAATTGGAATGAAAGCATAGTTTATACACACCATACATAATATACAGGATATCCACTTCAGCTGTCTTCTAATGGCATGAGCAGGGTGAATGTGGCAAGAGGTGGCTTTTCTATTCCTAATAATTAGCACAGGATTCCCTTTAGGTACAAGACCTCATTTTCTTTTAAGTTTATCACCCTGTCACTGGTGATCTCACTGTCAACGTGTTACTCTAGTGCTCTGAGGTCTGCACTGGCTGCCTCTGGGTTTGCAGGGACAGTTTAAGGTGTTGGTGCTGACTTATAAGCCTCGAAGGCCCAGATTTTTGAAGGTGCTTAGGCATTGCTACCCATTTTAAAAGGGAGTTAGGCTCCAAAGTGCCTAAACCCCGTTGACTGCCAATGGGATTTAAACTCCAAAACTACTGACTTTAGAATGAGTTAAGGCTGTTCAGTGCCTTTCCGGATTGGTCCCTCTATGAGAAAATCCAAGCTATATTGGCAAGTGATTACATATCTCAGATCAAGTTAAAAGCCGGCCGTGTTTTTCATAAAATCCCGTCTCCTTCCCCAGTTGAGAGAGGATTTTTTTTTTCTTTTGTGTAAATGTCTGATCTTACATCAGCTTTCAGATTCCAGATGCTAATGAAGGACTTGGATAAAAAAAACTGGCTCTTTACTGCATTTAAGTTTATCAACTAGGACTTGGAATAAAATGTGTGTGTGTCATGAAGCTAGAAATTTCCATGATTTACAGATTTATCCTGCCAAAACTGTGGAGTCTGGCAATAGAATCCTTGTGAAGGAGCCAAAAAAAAATCCTGGATTGTTACATGCATGGGCTGATGGCCCAATCCCTCTGTGTTTTCATTTACTGAAGGAAAGGACTCTGAGATACAGCAATAGAATGCTCAAATAAAACCGATTAATGCTGAATAAACTTCTAATTTAAAAGGAATTGCTAGCCCTGATCCTATATCAAATGATATGGACCTTTGTGTTAATGTTGGATATTTTTACAGCACTCATCCTGGCCTTGGCTCTTAGCCAGGAGTCAGCTCTGTTTGAATTTGTCAGTGTGGGAAAAACTCTCTAGGTCCTGTTGCTGATCTTGGCCAACAAGATGCTGATGAGTCCTGCAGATCCCGTTATATTCCTTGAGTATTCATCACCACTCAGCATCAGGAAAAACTAGGGTGATATCAAAGCAAGCAGAAACGCCCTACCCCTTGGTGCACAAGCCTGCAGCAAGAGCGTGGCTGTGGGGTAACGGACTTAATAGTACGATGTGCTTCCATGTTGGAAGAGCAGGTTTTGCTATCCGGGTCCAGCTTCTCACTCCTGGGACTAGCTGAAGCTGGTAGGTTCAAGCTATGACAGTAGGGATGGTTTTGTATCACTCAGGCTGCTCTGCCAACAAAACCAGACCCCTCCAGCCCTCTATGGCTAGCTGGAAAAGCTAGAGAAGCCTGAGGGTCCATTGCCAAGATCTGCCCAGTCAGATTTCTTGCAACCCTCCCCCCAGTGAATGTGAAATCTTGAACTAGATGGTTGGAGGTCCCACCAGACAGGCTGTTGGATCTGCAGCCACCTCTACCACGGCTGTGAAAAAGGCAGGGCAAGGGATACCTCCTAGCCTTCCCTCTTGCTGCCCCTCAGGTGGCATTGGAAGAGAATCAGCAGTTCTGGTGTAGAATTTCTTGATGGCGTCACAGGGCATTTGTTTAAATGGTGTGGGGTTGGCCGTATTTCCTGCAACCAGGGAAGTGTGTTGCCTATCAGGGGTGAAATCTTAGCACACCCCCCCCCCCTGAAATCAATGACCAAACTCTCATTGACTTCAGTGGGGCCCAGATTTCACCCTGGGAGCACAAACTCAAGATGTGACCTTCAGGTCGGATGGTTTACGACAACTGCTGGGGAGAGTTGCTTTTCTCACCAGAGCCAGCAACAAGGCCAGCAGCTTGTTGGCAAAAGGCATAGATGGCAATGGAGACCTGGGCATGTGGAGTTGAGGGAGAGGACTGTACAGGCGATCTCAGAAGCTCTGCCATTCCTTAGCTCAAATGATGCAAGAAGCCACAGAATTGCAAAGGTGAACCAGTAGCTGGGAGGGGTGACAGAGCATCGAGCTTCCCCTGAGATGCAAGGGGGCTGGATGAGTTACGTGGCCTCTGCTTGAATAGCAGTGAAATCAGTCTCCGGGACATCTAGCCAGCTTTGCTAGCCTGAGGGACAGAGAGTTAGGGAAGTTGGCGATGACTATAGAACACAACAGTTAACCCCAGTGCAAAGAGAGAACAGGAAAAACCATCTAAGTGTTTGTATCAGGGGCATTTTAAAGAGCTGAGAATGGAGAGGGACGTGCACGAAGAATGATGAAGATAGAAGAAATTGAAATAATAGAAATCATAGAGATGTGGGGCTGGAAGGGACCTTGAGAAGTCAAGTCCAGCTCCTGTGCTGAGGCAGGACCAAGTAAACCTAGATCAGTGGTTCTCAACCAGGGGTACATCAACTCAGCTAGATATTTGCCTAGTTTTACAACAGGCTACGTAAAAAGCACCAGCAAAGTCAGTACAAACTAAAATTTCATACAGACAATGGCTTGTTTATACTACTCTATATACTATACACCGAGATGTAAGTACAATATTTATATCCCCATCGATTTATGTTATAATTATATGGTAAAAATGAGAAAGACAAGCAATTTTTCAGTGATAGTGTGGCTGTGACATTTCTGTATTTTTGTGTCTGATTTTGTAAGCAAGTAGTTTTGAAATGAGGTGTAATTTGGGGGTATGCAAAGACAAATCAGACTCCTGAAAGGGGTACAGTAGTCTGGAAAGGTGGAGAGCCACTGACAGGCCATCCCTGACATGTGTTTGTCCAACCTGTTCTTAAAAAGATCAATGATTCCACCTCCCTTGGAAGCCTATTCCAGAGCTTAACTACCCTTAGAGTTGGAAAGTTTTTCCTAATATCAAACCTAAGTCTCCCTTGCTGCAGTTTAAGCCCATTACTTCTTGTCCTACCTTCAGTGGGCATGGAGAACAATTGATCAGAGTCCTCTTTATAACAGTCCTTAACATATCTGAAGACTGATCAGGTCCCCCCTCAGTCATCCTTTTCTCAAGACTAAACATGCCCATTTTTTAACGCTTTCCTCATAGGTCAGGTTCTCTAAACCTTTTTATCATTTCTGCTGGTCTCCGCTGGACTCTCCAAAATGTCCACATCTTTTCCAAAGTGTGGCACTCAGAAAGGACACAGTACTCCAGCTGAGGCCTCACCAGTGCTGAATACAGCAGGACAATTACCTCCCAAGTCTTACATACAACACTGCTACTAATGCACCTGGGAATGATATTAGCCTGTTTCACAACTGCATTACATTGTTGACTAGTATTCAATATGTGATCCACTGTTCTCCCCAAATCCTTTTCAGCAGTACCACTACCTGGCCAGCTATTCCCTATTTTGTAGTGGTGCATTTGATTTTTCCTTCCTAAGTGAAGTACTTTGCATTTATCTTTATTTAATTTCATCTGGTTTAATTCAGACCAATTCTCCAATGTATCAAAGTTATTTTGAATTCTAATCCTGTTCACCAAAGTGTCTGCAACCTCTACCAGCTTGGTGTTATCTGCAAATTTTATAAGCAAACTCTCCACTCCATTACCCAAGTCATTAAAGAAAATATTGACTAGTACCCGACCCAGGACTGACCCCTGCAAGACCCCACTAGATACATCCTTCCAATTGGACAGCGAACCATTGATATCCACTCTTTGAGTATGGTCTTTCAACCAGTTGTGCACCCACCTTATAGTGAATTAAGCTAGATCACGTTTCCCTACTTTGCTTATGAGAACGTCATATGAGACTGTGTCAAAAGACTTACTAAAATAAAGATATATCACATCTACTGCTTCCTACTTATCCTTACTTACTTAGGCCAGTAACCCTGTCAAAGAAGGAAATGAGGTTGACTTGGCATTATTTGTTCTTGACAAGTCCATGCTGGCTATTCCTTATCACTCTATTGTCCTCTATCTGCTTACAAACTGATTGTTTAATAATTTTTTCCAGTATCTTTCCAGGTATTGAAGTTAGGTTGACTGGTCTATAATTCCCAAGGTCCTCTTTGTTCCCTGTTTTAAAGATAGGTGCTATGTTTGCCCTTCTCCTGTCCTCTGGGACCTCCCCCGTCCTCAATTATTTCTTGAAGATAATTACGAATGATTTGGAGATGGCTTCAGCTAGTTCCTTAATTACCCTAGGATGAATTTCACCAGGCCCTGCAACTTGAATACATCTAACTTATCTAAACATTCTTTAACCTGTTCTTTCCCTCATAGAGGAGGCTTCTCTTTTAACCCTCACGTACCCCCTGCTGAGCCCATCCTAGTCTCCTCTGAGTCTCCAAAGCCTCTGGTCGTGGTGGGAGTGCTGTACTCCGATATCTCCCTGGAGCCACGGCAGAGCTCT